ATGCTCTGGACGAAGATTCCGTTCTCATTCCTCCTCAATATTATCATATTCGGGAATGACTACTTTTCGTCAGCACGCATCTTTTTGATGGCGACACCACTCACATTTATGGTGATGGCTGCAAGTTTTATACTTTATGGTCATATCGCTGTGAGTTTTCGTCATCGCTTTCCCGGGGAAGACCACTTCTTAAGACGGGCTACTGTACTGATTCTTCTTTTTCTCGTGATTTCCGCGTTGATCATCTTTGGTGTATATACTGCTTACCATGCCATCGGGCTCCTTGGCGATAGTAAGGAAGAAAACAATTTTACCTGGGCTTATATCACCACCGGGATAATGAATATTTTCCTGACATTTCTCAACGAAGGAATTTATCGCTTTGAAAACTGGAAAGTCAACCTGAAGGAAACTGAACAACTAAAGATCACTTATAAACAAAGCCAGTTGATCGGTTTAAAAAGCCAGGTTAATCCACACTTCCTTTTTAATAGTCTTAATTCCCTATCAGGCCTGATACAGGAAGACACGGAACGCGCAGAGAAGTTTCTTGATGAATTGAGTAAGGTGTACAGGTATATGCTAAGGAATGATGAAGACCCGTTGGTTAAATTATCAATAGAGCTGCAGTTTATCACTTCCTATTTTGCGTTGTTGAAAGAAAGATATGGTGAAGCCGTTCAGCTCGAACTGGCAGTAACCGCTGAAGACAGGGAAAAATGCCTTCCCCCATTGAGTTTACAGGTGATAGTAGAAAACGCATTGTATCAGAATAAAACCAGTAAAACTTCACCGCTACGAATCACCATTGCGTCGGGTGATAACAATACCATCGTGATCAGTAATAATGTTCAAAGGAAGATATTAACGGAGACCAGCGACCAGGAATCAGGGCTGGACAACCTGATAAAGAAATACCAGTTGATGTCTGAGCAACCGGTCGAGATAAGGGAGAATGGGACGGAAAGAATGATTGTGCTTCCTCTCATTAATAAAACAATGGAGGTAGCTATATGATAAAGTTTGAAAAAGCTACGAGGATTGAGTGGTTTTCCTTTATCGCGTCAATGCCATTGATCGACCTTGGAATAAATTATATACTATTTGATGATCGCCTGTTTCATGATTATCGCATCTGGCTCGTTTCATTTCCTCTCATTTTCATTGCAGGCGTAATGACATGGTATGCGCATGTTGTTTACAGTCACAACGCTCAACGAAAATATCCCGAGATCAGCCAAAGCACGATGCGCATCATCCTGAAGTGCCTGGCGAATATTTTCGTTATGACCCCGGCCATTTTAATTATTTTTTTCTTGTATGACCGTTTGGGCATCCTTGGGTATAGTTTGAGAAACGGAGACTTGCTGAAAGGCGTACTCGTAGGGTTCGCCGTTAATCTTGTTTTTTCTACATTATGGGAAGCTCTTTACATTATCGACAAGCACAGGGAAAGTATTGCCGAGAAGGAACTGCTTTCACAGATGTCATTGCAACAGGAATTCGATGTGTTAAAAAGCCAGGTCAATCCGCATTTTCTTTTCAATTGCTTTAATACACTTTCTTCATTGATCACAGAGGATTCGAAAAAAGCGGAAGTTTTTTTGGACGAGCTGAGCAAAGTATACCGATACCTTTTGCGTAATAATGAAGCAGGTCTCTCAACGCTGGAAAACGAGTTAAAGTTCATCGATTCCTATTTTCGCCTGTTAAAAACCCGCCATGGTGATGCAGTCCAGTTCCAGGTAGAGTCTGATAAAAGATACAATCACTACCTGCTACCGT